TCTGGATAAAGATTAACAACCAATATACATGTATATATACTTTGTCTATTTATGTGTAGATTCATCCTTAGTTCACCAAAAGGTATCTTCCTAACACAACATGCAGCACAGAGATCGTTGTCTGCCCCATATAATCACAGGTGTGGTTGTAAAGCCTCCTCTCTCCTGCACAATGTGATCAGATCCAAACATGATCATTTTGTTAGTATCAGATGTTGTCTGTTCCTGGATTGAAAATATTTATGGAATTGTGCAAAACACGCCTTTAAAGATTGTTTTCTGAAAATGGAGTTGTTGTTTTTTTTCTCATAATCTGAGGCAACAGTCTTCAGTCCAGCAGCACAACAAACTTTTCCTCATTTCACTCACAGCCGGAGTTACCGATATGTTTCAATTTGGGGTGATCAAAGAGAAAGTGAAAAATAATATTCAGTGTTAACTTCCAGTGTTAATATGTATGTTCTGAATCATTTACACACCAGTGTGTTAAATTAGTAAATGCATAATTTTCATATTCAAACATAAAAAAAAGATAAATGTGTAACACAAACAGCAATGGTGTTAATGTAGTAGTAGAAGTAATCAGTGAAAGTAACAATATGATCACTGTGTATATCAGATCCTCCTGTCACACATGTACAACACTGTGTACACAATATACTCCTCCTTGAATTCCAATCATCCCAAATCAAACATGGACATTATGCACTCATCAGAAATAATGATCGCAATGTTTAATTTTCTTGTGTAGACCCCCATTACACATAAATCACACCGCCATCTGCGCAAACAACGCATCCTCCCTTCTCGGCTGCCATTTACACAAATCTGAAAACATATTGTTGGTCTTTCTCTGCTGCTACGTAGCCAACAACCATTGACAGTTAAAATGTTTATCGTTTCTCAGTTTTTTGGAACATAATGCACCATCCAGGTACTTATGATGCATTGCATGTTGCCATTATTGTCAGTGAAAACACTTTCATGCACTTAACATATCAAGCGTGAGTCTGGAAGTTCATATATTTAGACACAGCACACATCTGCCACTTAATATTTCTTGTGATATACAATTTTTTTTTTACTTCTTCTATGCTTCATTAATTTATACTGTAACTAATCAAGTCCTATCTATATTTTATCACTGTCAACGTAAATCACTTCAACTAGGGATGCCACTGCTGCTCTAGATAAATACATTAACTACATAAATAATTACTAATTATCTTACTGAGCTGTAAGCTGTGTAAGTCAGTGTCAAATTATTTCATTGATGTATGTGACATAAAAAAGAAAAGTTGAACTAATGAGCACATTTTAGGGAGTTACAGCACACAAATATGTTGTGATCGTGTTTCAGAAAGCCAATGGTACAGCAGTATGTAACACTGTGCCTGGTGTTATTATTGGCTTTTATGACAGTGTGTGTCAGTGTTGGTGTTATTCTTCAAACCCTGATTTCTGCATCTGGCTACTAGATTTCTATTAAAACTGGTAATGGAAAAATGATTTGAATCTTCTCACATGGTCGTCTCACACCGCTGAAATCAGATCTGTCTGAATATTGGTGTGAGAGAGTAAATGAAAAAAAAATTCACAGACAGAGAGAAATTGGAGATGATGGGAGAAATTAGGCAGCAGAGCAGGCTGAGAGAGATGGAAAGACATCGAGACAGGGAGGATTTAAAAGGGGAAACAGGGAGTGAAGTGGAACTAAGGCAGGAGAATTATTCGCAGGATGCTGGGAGAGACTAGGCTATGATGAGAAAAAAAAAGAAAGAGATAGGCTGTGTCAAAACACTGCTGGACTGAAAAGCTAACAGATCAAGCCGCTCAGTGGAATCTTAAAAAATACTGACTCAGTTCCCTGGGGGAGGATGAAGGAGGACAGCTCGCCTCCTAAGAGGGGGCAACAGGGCACGGTCCTGAAGGCAAAGTCGCACATAATGATTAGTTATGTGGCACTTATTTTCATAATTAAAGCTTGTAACATCAAAGTTTTTGGCTGGGTTCCTGACAATACCTGATGGCTACTGTTTTCTATAAAAAATGACAATCTCTGAGAGTGATTTAGGGAAGCCCTGAATGGCTTTTTTTCAATATTTGAAAGCAGGAAAATTGATTTTTACTTGACTTCCCCGAAGTGATATTTTATTCATCAGGTGAAATAATCATCTGCTATCACACCTGATTTTTTTTGTTTTGTCCACTGACCCATCCCATCAAGGTGGCGGTTTAAAAAAACTGATGCGTATAATGTATAAATTAAACACACTTAAATTCTCCTTAGGTAAATCCTGTGATTTACCTCCTGCTCGACTACACCCAGACATCCACTAACAGTGGAGATGATCTGGACAGCAAACAAAGGAAGCGCAGTCTTGTCAACCGAGATTCTCCCATTGATAACTTCTCTCTTAACATCTACTTAGCTCAGTAGTTTCTTCCCTCTGGCAACATTGTCTGCTCCCGTCACTTTCAGTTCCATATCTTTGAAATCGCACAGTGCAAGTTATTTCTCTTTTCTGAGCTTTTGTCACGCACCTGTCTGTGCTGCATTCTCCTCAGAAGCCAATGGGTGGTTTGGAGAAAAAAGCGTGGGAGCCTGGCGATAGCTCGCAGGTAATTCATTCAAGGAACAGCTGTAAACAGAGAAATAACCAGAGTGACACTAAATTTTTTAAACATGAAATATTTCAATATATAGTATAGCTTTTTCTGGCACAAGAGCAAGTTTGGTTTGAAGTTTAAAGCCTGTCTGCACATCCATCCTTCCATCCACGTTCTGTTCAGTAATGCATTCTTTGTCATTTTTTGCTGTGTGCAACGGGACGGACAGGATGTGTGTGCTGCAGGGACTTTGCTGTCAAACCTTTGCCCTCCTCTGTTCATCGCAGCCTGCACTGGAGGAATAATTGGCACATTAAATTATTTAAAAACAGCTGGGGCACATTATCATAAATATTCACTTGACGTTTTGCTTAGATCAACAGTCAGAACCCAGGGCTCTGGATGTGACTTCATGACATCTCGTCACTCTCATGAGTGTGTGAATGTGTGAGTGTGTGTGTGTGTGTGTGTATGTACATTTTAAGTGCCCAAGGCCGATTGATGGACAGTATTTGCAAACAAAGCGTCCTCCCGTCAGTCAACGTAACTGAGCGCAGACAGCATGAAAATGTCAGGCTCATGCATGGGAACAGATGTGCATGTGAGCATACATATGGAAATGTCAGCCACACTAACACTCGTGCACGCTCACTCATGAACATGCAGACGCAGGCCTCAGCAGCGCGGCGAACCCTCGTCACTCTGCTGCTGTAACAAGTGCCTCTAACAGGCCTGTCACTGTTCCAGTCAGAAAAACCCATCACGACATGCTAACGATGCAGGGCTGCTAATGACAGCTCTATTAGTATCTATTAATTCCAGTTGTGACCACAGACAAACAACAACAGCGGTTGTCCTCCAACCAGAAGGTCGGCAGTTCGATCCCCAGTCTTCCCATCTGCATGCCGAAGTGTCCTTGGGCAAGATGCTGAACCTGGAATTGATCCTCATAGAACAGAAAAAAGTGCTGCTAATAGATGCACTGTATGAATGTGGATGTGCCATTCTGCAATGTGTGTGTCTATGTAATTTAACAACATGACTGTGCTAAACTGTCTTTTATTTAGTTATTCATTCATAACTGAAATAAGATAAATAACATCTAAAAGGTTTGAGACAGGAGACGACACCACCGATGGTTCCTACACAAACAGAATTTTTTGGGATGGTGTCTTATCTGCCTTGCTTTTGTTTTTTTTTCTAGATGTAGCACAGACTGCAGAATAAGAAGAAAGAACAAACAACAAACTGAACATTCGCGACAAGATACCAAACAATTTTAAAGCTGCATATCAATAGTATTATTAGATTTACTGCTCTCCTATGTTTCTGATGGTTACTGACAGTTGAAAACAGAACCTTGGCAAATATTCATTGTTATGGTTTAGGTGTTTTTAAAAATACTTCATCTGCATTGTCTTATTTTAGGCCTCTCTAACCCAGGATGACAGAGCACAGAGTAAAGTCAGTGGAAGATTAATATTTGTGCTATAATACAGAGTCCTCTTTTCTCTGGTGCAGTATTCATTGGACCCAAGGTAGAATGAGGAAGCCAGATGGATGAAAACTTGAGGAAGCTTCATATTATATGAGAGACAGATAGAGAAGACAAAACAAGATGAGCCGAGGTTTAGATGCATTTGATTGTAGAATGATAGGAAAGATCTTTGGAGTCCGCGGAATCTGTGGAGTGGGCTTTCATTTGATAGCTTGTGTTGTTCACATGAAGTGTCATGATTGTCAGTACTAGCTGGGACACATACGTATAGTTTGTGTTTGTTTGACCTTTGCTTGCTGTTTGAATCGTGTTTGGTTTAAGTGAAAATGGTTGCTGTGGGCGTTTAAACAGAGCTTTTGACCATAAAGTGAATATGCAGCATGATTATGTTGCTTCATATTCAGCATGCTCTTATGATATGTGAGCTACAGATACCACTCAGGCTTAAAGGTCCAGTGTGTAAGATTTAGCTGAAAGGGATTTTTGGAAGAAATTGAATATATAACGGTGATGTTTTCACTGGTGTTTCATCTAAATTGTATGAATTGTTGTTTTCTTTACCATAGAATGGGACCTTTATATCTAAAAACTTTATATTTTACATGGAGGGTGTTCCTCTCTGTGGAGGCTGCCATGTTTTTTACTGTCGTCCAAATTGGACTAACTTAAACCTTTTGAGTTTTCATGACAACTGACGTTCACCACAGGTTCTCTTACAAGGGAGGGGGAGGGTGAGATGAGGAGTATTCAGCTGCAACATGCATTACCTCTAGATGTCACTAAATTCTACACACTGAACCTTTAAGATGTTTAAATAAATACTTTAATAAATGATTATTTAAATTATCAATGATATTATAGATAGAATACTCAAGAACTAAAATAATTTATAACTCCAGTTCTGGTGGGATTATAATACCTCTTTTTGAAAGGACAGTTACAACTGTTAATTTGTTAACTTTCCCATCAGCCTGATCTCCCTGGTGCATTTTGTATTGAGAATAAATAATTCTAGCTTCACCCTGCAGGATTTCCCTCACAGTAATTGCTACTTTTTGAGCTGTCAGTCTAGTAAACAACACAAGTATACACACTCCTTCACAAGCCTCAATATTTGAACTGAACAACAGTTTATTTTCTTTCTTTTTTTTACTACCACCATCTTCTGCATATATTAGAAAAAGTGACACTGGGTTGTGATGCTAAGATCTGTCTATCTTTATATTTATCTTTATCTTTATCACCTAACTTTGGGAGGGAAATGCTTTTTGACTGATCTAAATTTGTTATGCAAAATCTCTGTGGGATTCCATTGTCTTTATTAAGCAGCCTGAGGTTGATAGGCAGTGGGGCTGCTGTGTGGCGCACATGTGAGAAATAACCTGGGGTAATGACAGTGATCCACAGTAATTACTGGTCTTCGATTGCTGCGATATTGAAAGCAGTTAGAGATGAAAAAACAAGAAAAGAGCGCAGATGAAGGGGGGTGGGGGTCGTGTGCTTATGGGTTCTCTGATAAAACAGTAGCGATACATGAGAAAGCAGGCCTGACAGTCGGAAAACACATTAACAGAAGAAAAGAGGCTCCGAATGTTTCTTCTTTCTCTGAACCAGTTCACACCTTTAAAGGAGCGTGTAGAGATGGCAGCTTTACCGTCGCTGTTCAGCATTCAAGATGATACATGTGCTGTGGCAGATTGTGCTTTATCGCAGCACAGGCAGAGGATGTCCTGCTCCCCAGTTCCCACCGGTCACTGTGAAATCTCATTGGTCTCTCTCAGTGGAGGTTAAAAATAGTCTGTCAAGATGAGGTCAGGGGGGGGGAGTTTTATTAACAACCATCATTGCCAACAAGGGCAAAAGAGTAAGGAGAGAAGGTAACTCAGTAAATGGAATCAACGCTTTTTTAAAAGTATTTATACATATATTTAAATCAAGGCAAAAGAAAATGGTAGGAATTTCAAGTATTAAGATTTAGAAAGACCAATTGTTACATGATGCATACAGCTTATCACGTCTTTTAAGCTGTGTTTCCCATCAATTTTAATTTTCACATTTATCACACCAGGGCTCAAGACTAACTATTTTATATTAGTTGTCCTGGACTCTGTGGCTCTGTTCACAAAAATAGCTCCTGAATAAATATTAAACATTTAGCACAGGATATATTTTACCATCTCAGTAAACAGGATGGGATGGTTATGATTTAGATTAGCTTTTAGCTTTGTACTGTACTTGGTTAGTATTTTAGCATTAGACTGTGGTGGGCCACCATATTCTAAGTGACATAACCAAACATGTTTTTACACTTCTCAATATAACATAAGAGACCTTTAGCTTGTTGTTAGCAGAGCTATTTGCTGAATGCTTGCTTGTTCTGTTATGCAGAATGTACTCGCACCATGGTCCATATCGTTGTTACCATCCACGCAGATGGTCAGACCTCTTAGTTTCAGCTGCAGCTTTGGCATGCAACAGAGTTATTTCCATCACACTAGAAAATATCTTTCTCTCTTTAGTCTGCACACATGTCACTTGGAATCTGTTGCATGTAAGAGTGACCTCCGTGCACGTGCACCCTGTTACAGCTGTAGCAGTATTAATGAAAATGGAAATGTCGCTTTGAGCCAATTTCTAACAGTCATTTATTGCTGTGATGTGATTTTTGAGTTAGAATCAATGAAAAACAACCTGATATTAAGTCCAATGCTTTGTGTTTTTTACCACTCAACATAGTCAAAGCTGCCATGTTGTATTTGGAATTCTAACATTCACTCAAATGTGGGAGGACAAGTTCATATTTGTGTGTCAAGTAAAATTTGTTCCAACTGCTTATTTGTATCTGTGGCTATACTCGAACATTTACAAGGACACACATTCTTACTAAACAAATATATACTGTGTGAGTGACATAGCTGTTCAGCTGTAATGACATTTATTGACTTATTATGGGAAGGTTTTTACAGCTCAATGTGTTTATGAGAAGATACAAACCAACTGCAGAGTATTGTATTGGTCTAAGCTGTAACTTATCCACAGCAGTGCAGATCTTCCCTTTTAATTTCATTAAACTCCCATAGCTCTCTTTAGGCACCAGCTTTTATTGCCTTCACCAAGAAGCTTATATTTTCATCGGCTAACTACAGAAAAAATTGATTTCCTTGAAATTTGGGGGATGGGTGGTGCCTGACTCAAGCAAGAAAGACCAGAAAGTTTGGTGTGGCTCTGGATTCACCTTCCTTAACATTGTGAGATGAGGGTGTTTTTCAACATTTTCATTGATTTCTCAGAGAACAATTCATTGATCTTGATGAAAACAATCAAGCATGTTTAAGAGACTGATATTTGAGTGTATGCAAAGTCTACATTTAGTGGATTTAAATGTGGTTTAATGAGGGGACTGTTAGTAAAGGTATGCCATTCTAATAATAGCAGTGGAATTTTGCACATTTTGCTTTATCCATTGCATTTTGAGATAAAGTTTACCTGTTGGAATGCATATTTCATAAGGTATTGCCATGCTGTTATATAACT